ATAATTTATGTTGTTGTCAACAACAATGTCTACTTCAAGCAAGATAGAGATTGTGTAGGTCATGACTCATTCTCCTCACACCGAAAGCTTACTAGTTCTTTCCGCATGCTTGCATACTGATGCTCAGCAGACTCGTTGGAAGAGATTTGCGAATGGGTGAGAACATTATATTGGAGAGTTTGAGGAATTTATGCTCGGCTGTCACCAACATATTTTTTGCTCTGTACTTGCGTGTACCAATAGTGGAAGATACTCATCTCCTCCTTCATCATGCTGCACAACGTGGATTTCTAGGAAAGATTGATTCTACTGACTGGTACTAGGTGTAGAAGAATGGCCTGACTGTAGGGGGTGGGCATCGATTTGGTTCGGTCCAAAACAAACCGAAATGCAGCATACCGGGTCCCCGAACTATGCCACAGCTCAAACCGAATTCGAAATGAATTATACTTTGATTTTTTCGGATTTTCCACCAAACTGGATTTTTTTAATAATCTTTTCCCCCTGTAGAGAGCAGAGAACCCAAATGAGAGATGGGGGGATTTTTTTTCTTACCTTTTTTTTCTTTTCTTTTCTCTCTCTCGCCCCACCAAACAAAGCTTTCCCAAATCCCAATCTTCTTTACCTTCTCTCTCCCCCCAGCAAACAAAGCTTTCCCAAGCTTCTTCTTTACCTTCTCTCTTTCTCTCCCTCCCTAGCAAACAAGCTTCCCCAATCCCCATTTCTCCTTAGTCCTCACATGTGACCTATATGCTCTTCCTCAAATTTGTTCCTCTCGTTTTACCCCAGTGGGTCAACGCCAGATATGGAGGAACGACAAGATCTCGGTGTGTGCGGACGGCGGCAGTAGTGGCAAGAGGGTTGACGGTGCTCCAATCCCACCAAAGTGCGACGACGAAGATTAATCTCGGTTCCTCGAATAATTTTAAGTAGTTATTTTGATGCATGTGGTTTTTTGTTTGGATTTCTGGTCTCAGGGGCAACGAGGAGAAGAGAGCGGGGAGAGGAGAGAGGAGAAAGGGGTCTCGAACTCCAATGGCTAGAGAGAAGAAGAGAACAGAGAGAACCGCATGCCCACCCCTATCTTTCTGGGTGGGTAGGCAATTACATTAGCTAGGCATAAAAAGAAATTAACCATTGTATTTATCCTCAAAGTTGTAGCATGCTACGACACATGGATTTGACATGCATTCTTCGGAACACCTGGATCAAACAATGGCTTCAATATTCTTAGAGTATCTCCACTATTAGATCAAACAGTATGAGGATTGGTTCCCAAGGTTAGGTATGAGGTGAATGATAAGACGTATCATCAATATTATTACTTGACTGATGGAATTTGTCTTGAGTGGGATACATTAGTGAAGACTATTAACAATACAAGTAACCAGGAAAAAAAGTTGTTTGCAAAGCACCAATAAGTATATCGCAAGGATGTTGAGAGAGCATTTGGCATTCTACAACAAAGATGGGTCATTGTTTGAGGACCGATTTGTATTTGGGAAGTGCTGTCACTTGGTGTGAATATGTTAACTTGTATTATTCTACACAATATGAAAATGGAAGATCAACTGTAGAGTACGTGGATGAGCTAGAGAAGAACATTGAATATGATACTAATCAAAATGTTAGCTTGGATCCACCCGAGCATAACATTTGAACCTTGATGGACTACCTGACTAAACACGGTAGGATTCGTGATCGTCCAAGACATCATGCATTGAGAAACGATTTGATTGAGCATTTGTGAGCAAAACAAGGAGGAGACTAGAAATGTGATGTATTCCTTATGTTTCCTTACATTATTTATTTCCTTCTTTTGGTGTTTGTATTTCTCAAGTTCCGTTAATGTACTTCCTATGTTTGTAACTTTATTTTCCACGTTGTAATAATGTATTTCAAACTTGTTGCAGTATTTTTTAAAAAGAAGGTATTGCATTACTAATTGAAGACTTACTATCGATATATCATACAATCAACCAAAAATAAAACTAGATAAAACAATAAACTCAAAATAAATGTGATCCACCAAACATATTAATGTCGGGGCCATAGTGAAAGTCATCATTACTATAATAATTATGAGTATAAATTACATAACTAAATGAAAAATCAAACACATAATAATAATTATTAGAACTCAACTAATCTCATTACTTAGATTTTCTTCTCTTATTGGCATCGTGCTTGCTCTCCTTAACACCGAATTACATGACCCACATTGATGGGTCCCCATCGAGCAATCAAGGCCCCATTAGTAGGCGAAATTACCCATCCTTTAGCAACATATAAGACTCCAACTCCTCTCCAAAACTAAGGCTCAGATTGATAATGGCCTATAGAACCATCTTCTGAAAATTCAATCAAAGCCTTGCACAAAACCTCATCTTTGGACTCCTTCCAATTTGGTGGACGATTAGGTTGAGACATGATCATGAGTTTGGAAGTATATAATTCCCCAATCGCCTCCTCATTCTTCTTACGCCATCGATGATAAGCTATCTTGACTGAGTAATTGCCTGTGTTTTCAAAGCTCCAAATCCGAGAGTATTCACATGGTTGTCTAGGAATAGGGATTTTCGGAATATTAATCCAATATTGGGCGTTGAAATGACTCTGTAACAAAGATGTGTCCAGGTTTTTGAAGAGGTATCTAGTAACTCACTAACAAAGGTCGTAGTTCCCAACTGAGCTGGTGGAGATTCCACTTTGTAGTTGAGAGATGTGGGAATCTACTTGTCTAACCAAATGTAAATTTTGTTGCCCCCATACCCATTTGCACCTTAGGTCTACAGAGCTCCTTCCAACTTAACTAGTGTGTTCTTATTTCCCCAATTCTGTTGCCCCCACTAAAAGTTTGATAACAGTCTATGAATCTCTTGAACTACCCCCATAGGAACTAGGAAAACCTGCATTGCATATGTCATCTGTGCTTGAGCTACAGCTTTTATCAGGGTTTCTTTGACAACGTAGGACAATAGCTTAGTTTTCTAGAGTTTGACTTTCTTTCTAACTCTATCCACTAATAGTAAAAGACAGTTTTCTTCTGCCTTCCTACTACTGTGGGGAGCCCCAAATATTTAGCATGGTAGGGTACAACTCTCATCCCAAGAATCCCAACAAGTTTTTGTTGTTTGTCTTCCTTCACATTTGGATTGAATGACAATTAAGACTTCTCTAAATTAATCTTCTGTCCCGATTCAGTCTCATAAAGCTGTATAATAACCCTGAGATGTTCGCATTGAGGGCGACTGGCCTTAACAAAGAGAATGTTGTCATCAGCAAATAGTAAGTGGCTAATAGAGGTAGCTTCTTTTTTAACCTTTAAGCCTTCAATCACTTTATTATGTTCTCATAAATTTTTATAATAACTCTGAGAATTTGCATTGAGGGAGATTAGCCTAAACAAAGAGGATGTTGTCATCAACACACAGTAAGTGGTTGATAGAGGGAGCTTCCTTTTTAACCTTTAAGCCTTCAATCACTTTACTCTGTTATGCTTTAACTAATAGTGCTGAAAGACCTTCAACCACAAAGAGGAAAATATAGGGATATAGGGACACCCTGTCGCAAACCTCTTGTGGGATAAAAATTTTCTGTTTGGTGGCTATTAATCAAGAGAGAGAGTAGGAGACAGTAGAAGTAACACTTCATGATCAGTGTCACCCATTTATCAGCAAAACTTAACATTTTTATAATTTCTTCAAGAAATTTCCTTACAACCTTGTCATAGGCTTTTGCAATGTCAAGATTTGCTGACATGGAACCTTTCTTTCCACGTGTTCTTCCTTTCATAGCATGAAAACTCTCATAAGATACCAACCCATTATCTGTTATTAACCATCCAGGGATAAAGGCACTATGATATTTTGTTATAACCTTGTAGATGATGCCCTTCGGTCTGTTAGCCAAGACTTTCGACAAGATTTTATACAATACTTTGAAAAGACTTATAGGACAAAAATCAATAAGTGCTTCCACCGTCTTCTTCTTTGGTATCAGTGACACTAAGGTATGATTTAGGGATTGAGGAAAATCCCCTGTCTCTAAATATTGTTGGAGTTCCTTAGTAACATAATCTCCCGCCATACCCCAATTCTGCTGGAAAAAAGGGTTGGCATCCCAACTGCCTTTGGTGCTTTATGAGCACCCATCCTCCTTAAAGTCGGTAAAATTTCTTCCTTGTAAGAGGTTTCAATAAATCATCATTCATTTCCTGAGTAACCTTTTATGAAATTGCTGGTAAGATGGTTTCTTATGTCCCACTACTGCTAGATAGAAAGAGAAATTGGAAATAATGCCCGAGGATAGATGACACTTGTTGTTGTTGTTGTTGTTCTTCTTGCCACTCTCATGTATCATCTTTTAACTTGTTGATGGTGTTTTGGTTTCGTCTATCTGACGCCTTCTTGTGAAAATAATTTGTGTTCTGCTCTCCCTCTTTGAGCCAGTCGGCTCTAGATCTCTGTTTCCACATTATTTCCTTCTGCGAGATAATTTCATTCTTCTTTTTCCAATGCATTTCTTTGTAATCTGACTTCTACATTCAACCTTCTTTTCTTAAGATTTCCCAGTAATTTTATGCTTGTCTGCGACGGAAACTCAGACTGTCAAAATTTTGTTGCTCCAACCCATAAGTTTAGTCTAGACGTTTGTAAGTGAGTGGACATTGGGACAAGGGCTCCAAGTGAGTGAACGTCGGCATCAATTGTAGGAGAAGATTGGGAGAAGAACTCGCTTGGCTCCTCCGCCCCAACCGACACCAGCACAACCACCCCAGCACTGTGGAGGTCGAGATCGCCTTGGGACACACGTGATGCTACAAGGGAGGCCGAGAAACCACTACCGACCGAGGAGATTGAGAGTTCTCCTGAGGCTGGCGGAACCGCACGCCATCAAGCAATACGAGTCGGTAAAATGCCGATGGTAACTCGTCTGCCTCGCAAATGACGCAAGTGGTCCGAGTAGAAGTGGCGAGATAGGCCGACGAGGAAGTTAAAATGAAGATGGAACCAGGATCACGATTGCCTCCTATCCAGCGGGTGAGTCGTTGTCGTCGCATTTGGAGCGGTTCGCGCAAGCGGTCGGGGGGAGGTGGAATCCAGGTCTGGCAGTGCGGCTCCCATTGTGTTGGCGTCGATGGTGCTGAAGGAGAAGAAAGAGGGATGCAGCAGCGGCGGTGGCTCTTGTCCCTTTCGCAAACCATCGAAGGAGATGCCAACGGCAAGATCGATCAAAGAAGAGGCGTCATCGACCTTCCACGGGAGGGTTGTTCGCCACCGAGGAAGGAGTTATCGACGAGGGAAATGACGGGAGCTGGGTAAGGTGACGACGTCTGTTCTTCCTTTAACTTGTCGATCGACAAGCTTGTACAAATGACAACGAGTGTCGTGGTCCCGGACTCGCCTTACCTTGAGGTGGTGGAGATTTTGCCATTGACGATTAAGAAGAAGCACAAGGGGGGCGGGGATCTCTCTTCCGCAAAACCTGGGTCGCCTAGGGTTGAACTAGCAGATCAACAAGGGGGATCTTGGTTGGGCTGGGAGAGTGTGGACTTTGAAGAGCTGCGAGATTGGGTTTCACGTGGGCAGGACTTGGGCATGATGATTTCATAACTTCATAGGTAAATTGGACACACTTCATAGCAGTAGGTGGGTCACGAGTCTGAGGGTAGTATGGGCCTCGTATCGATTGTCTGTTCAAGAGGTTGGACATGGTAAGAAAGGAAATTGGGTTATTTGATTTAGCATATGGGCTTTCACAAGAGCAGGTCCCAATGATTGGTGAAGAATCAATAGAGCAAACTAATGGGCTACATCCAAGAATGATTTTTAAAGGTTTAGATGAGTTGGTATTTAAGGATTTATTTTTAATACAAAATCACCTTTGGAGTGCTTATGTTACTTGAGTGTGAAGCCAATGAAAGATGAGTTATTGAAGTTTGAGTTTGCCAAGAAAGCAAAGAGTGGGCGCATGGAAATGAAATTCGAAGAGTTGGACCAACTCGAGGAGATCGGTGCAAGAAGGCCAAGTCGAACAGTGGAGCATGATTGGAAGAAAAGGAAGCGCAAGAAATGGAGGGGTCATCGTGGGGATAGTGCGGAAAGGAAGGATGAGTGGTTCAAGTCAGTCAACCTTGAGGGCAAGGTTGGTCTGAAGGCAGAGATGTTAGAAACCAATTTCTTTAGGATTTCTATATTTATTATTATAGTTATTATTAGGGTAATTCTTATTATGGTTAGTAGTCTTTTAATCATATTAGGTTTATTGTTAGGGTTTTCCTTAGTTCCTACAAATACTTACTTTGAGTTTTCATTGAGTGAAAATAAGAAAAATATTAAGAAAACTCCTTAACCCTAATCTCCCCCAAATCATCTCAATTTCTCTTCTCTACCGAATTTGGACGCCGGCCATTCTTCCTTGTTCTTCCCTCCAATTCTTCTCCAAATACCTAATTATATATTTACAATCCCTAAAATCCAAAATTTCCACCCAATTCGATAATCCGTTTTCCAGCACCAGAGTATTGAAATTTTTCACCTGCAGCCTATGAAAAGCATCTGCTTTTTGGAAAATCCGTAGATGGTTTTCATAATGCCATGGTCCACCAAAAAGAACCTTTTCTCAAGAAATTGAAAAGAAAATAGTTGATCTCCACTATCCCTAATCTGGAAATTCTGTCTTAGGTTCCACGCCTTTATTAGGGCTATTTTCATAGTTTTACATTCGACATTTTGTCTGTGACTAGCCTCCCTACCAGACCCAGTAGGTTCACTGCCTTGACCATTTTTCTATTATAGTATTCTTCCTCTGCCACCAGTGGTTCATCATCCTCACCCAAACTAATATTTTGTATCTTCTTTTTCCGGGCAGATTCAAAAGTCATCTCCTCCACGGATCTCCTATGTGTGTTTACTTCATCACATGACTGCTTAGGATGTACCTAAGAATCCTCCACAACCTGTCCATGAAGCACCATGAAAATATTGTTCTTACTTTCTATTTTGCCTATTCAGTGTCGTGCGAATTACGATTCGTAGAGCTATGAAGCTCTCACTCCTCTTTCATACTTTTGTAGGCTAGTAAGATCTATAGAAAACAACACAAGAAAAATCAACATCAATACCACAATGAAAAGAGTTGTGTTAAAAGGATCACACACTTACCCTAGTCGGAGGAGGCAGACTAGGTTTTCAGAAAAAACGAGAACCCTTTAGGAATCAATACTGGAGGGAAACTCTCTCTCGTTGAAAACTTGAAAACTTAATCTCGCAGGAGGCAAGAGAGAGGTGGAAGTCAACCACGATGTTATCGAAACTATAACCACTCTTAAGGGAAGGCGAGAAGCTCAATCGAAATCAAGAAATCAATCAAAAACCCTAGTTTTGACAAGGAAAACTCTATCTAAATGAGAGAGAGAAAAAACCCTAACATCCTGCATTAACCATTTGTTTTCAATATAAGGGTTTCAGGATGGGATTACTTGCTAACCCTATAAGGAGTTAGCACCATGCTAACTAGCATAAGAACCATTAGATTAAAAATTAATCATGGGGCCCGAATTAAATAGAGGAAAATTTAGTAACTACACCATCAAACTCTAATATATATAGCTTTCTTCTACCAATTCCTTTCCAGTCGGCCACCCACCTCTCCTATTGTCTCTCTCTCTCTCCCTCTCCAAAATCCAGACCCTATCTTCTTCTCTCTCTAAAGAAACACTCATCTTCGTTGATTCCCCTTCTTGTTTGACTATGCATGCGTCGACCTTAGCGTGCCGACCTCGGCCTCGCTATCACTATTGCCTTCGCCCGCAACGGCCTGCAACTGCCTCCTACGCAACCGCGTTGCCATCACTCGCAACAGCCTCGACATCGCCATACGCTATTCTCAACTCTGGTCACCTCACCTATGTTGCCGTTTCGATTAAACTGCAACACTTGTGGCCGGAGAGGAGGCGGGTCATCATATGATGACGGAAGAGGATACAAATCCAGATCTGGGGAGAGGCTTTCGTTCAATGGAGAGATAAGAGCCTGCGCCGCCCTTTTGTTGGCCTTCCCTCCGTTGGCTTCCCACCACCAGTGTCGTCAGTCGCTCCAAGAAGCATCCGCAAAGGGAAAACGAGAATTTTGCCAAATCTATATTATTAGGTGATTAATAGTTATTTGGGTTAGTAGTGATTGTGGAGTAGTGATTTTCATATGTATTCGTAGTAATTTTTATTGTAATCAGCAGTTGAGCAGTGAAATTTGTAAAGTATTAGTAGTGTTTTTTATAATAGTAGTTATATTTGTTCTTTGTAGTACTTTATTTCATCCACCGTGGTGTTTTTTCAAAAATCATCAACTTCTACTGATTAAAAAATGCTACTAATAACAATAAAATTACTACGGACTATCACAAAATCACTACAACTCTTAAGTTAAATAACTACTAATTTGACTAGTAGTAAATTTTTCAGTAGTATTTTTTTGCACGTCAAAGTTCTCTGCGAAGATGGAGAGAGAAAATTAATATTTAAATTTAATTTTTCCAAAATACCAAACAAGCCCTTCACTATTTCTAACCGTCAAATGTAACTTAAAAGTAAGATGAGAGTGTTCCATCAAAAAAAAAAAAAAAAGTAAGATGAGAGTGGTTAGCATGGTGCTAACTCTTAAATCCTCCTCCCAAGGGTTTCTCTTAAATCCAGTATGATTGGGGTTTGAAAATATAAACTAGTAGGGTGTAAGAGGCGGGCTTCATCTGATATCTAGTAATTAACGCCCAACCGTTCAAGGGCCCAACACATTATTTGGGCTCCATGTCGGACTTGCCTTAACGACGACAGGTGAAATTTCATTTTCAGAACCAAAACTACTAAAAAGAAAGAAAAGAAACAAGAGCGACCCGGAAAAAAATGGTTTCGTTCCGATTCCCCTTTTCGTTTCCACAACCCGGCAACCAACCCAACGTCATTTCCAAGGCCGCCACCACCACCCGCTCCCACTCCTTCTCTGCCGTCGCTTGCTCCGTCGCAGCCGGTGCCGCCACATTCGCCGCAATCTCCTACTCGAAGAACTCTAGAGGCGGTGAGCCCTCTGTGGTCGAAAATGCTCTTAATTCGCTCCTCTCCGGCCGCTCCTCGCTGCCGTGGGCCTCCCTCGCCCTTGCCGACGGCCCGGCTTCCGTCGTCGAATCCAAGACCGGCGAGTCGTTCCCTTGCGTGATTTCGGGCAGCCGGAAGCTTTTGGGCATTGGGTTGAGGAGAAAGAGCCTATTGGGGTTGAAGAGCATCGATGTTTACGCATTCGGTAACTGTCTCCTTATTTCCTTGGTTTCTTCTGCATCTCTGGTTTTGTTAGAGATTCATCTCTTTCCATTTTGTCGATTGTATTTCATCCCCTTCAATCCACTAGGTTTCTCTGTTTACTAACAACAGGAGTGACTTCATTTTTGCATGTTGGGTTCCCCTTGGCCAATTTGCTAGATTTTGCAATGATTTAGTTCGATTTAGCTCGATTTTGGGTTAATCTCTGTGTTGTGTAGATGTGATATGAAAAATTGAACAAGTAGAGTGCCTGATGGTTTCTAGTAGAGCCTTTGTGTAGCAAGCTTAAGATAATGGTGAGATGTTACTGCTGTAAAGTTTCTGACAGGGAAAATGAATTCCCTACAGGCGTGTACGCTGATAAAGATGAAGTGAGGATATCTCTTGGTGACAAGAATGGAAAACTTTCTGCTGCCGAACTCAAACAGGAACTACTAGAGGCGGATATAAGTTTGACCGTTAGACTTCAGATAGTGTATGGTAAGCTAAGCATTCGTTCTGTACGAAATGCTTTCGAGGATTCAGTTGGCAGCAGGCTGCAAAAGTTCGGTGGAACGGATAACAAGGAGGTTCTTCAGAGGTACTGAACTGCAAGTACTACATTTCTTCTAGTCTCCAATTTTAAGTAGGAGCAATGTAGTCAAAAACGCGTTTCTATGTAGAAGCGTTTTGATGACCTAGAAGCGTAAAACCGTAAGTTTTTAAGCTCTCAAAACGTAATTTTTAACTACATTGGCTATAAAAACGATGTTTATGTATAGAAGCATTTTGGTGATCTAGAAACGTAAGTTTTTAAGCTTTAAAGCGCGATTTTGACTACATCGAGTACAAGTTAAATATCCAGTCATGGACGTTTCTTCCTGTGGTGTATAGGTTCACTTCCCAGTTCAAGGATGAGTATAAAATACCACGGGGTTCTGTAATAGAACTCTCAAGGGAACGAGGCCATGTTCTTCGCACGACAAGTAAGGCTCCTCATTCCTTATTTTTTATCTTACAGGGTGATCTTTCTCATCTGTAATATGTTCATTCTGGATCATATTTAGTGGGTTTTTGAACGATCATGTTGATTCCAAGGTTTCTATTGTGTTATTGCTGTTGATTTGTCTGTAGAGTAGTTTCACGGGTGGTAGTCAATAGTCATGCATCTGTTTACTTCTGCTTTTATTGTGTCCACAGTTGAGGGGAAGGACGTGGGGAGTATTGAGAGCAAGGCCCTGTGTCGCTCCATCTTAGATCTATACATTGGTGAAGAACCATTTGACAAACAGGCGAAAGAAGAGATCGAGAATAACCTGGCGT